CCCCAAAACCCCAAAACCCCAAAACCCCAAAACCCCAGTCCATCTCCCCAACACTGAACCTATAAATACCCAATAACAAAATTAATAAATAATTTAACTTAACCCTCACTTACCAAAATGGGAAATGCAATCAACCAATGTCTTCCGAAGAAGGACAGGCTCGAGCCTGCCCCACGCAGGAAGAGAATCTGTGAGTGCAGTTCTTTGTGGAAGCGAATTTTGTGAAGAGAGGCGTGGATAGAGGGCTTAGGGATGAGGGTTATGTGGAGGGAGGTGTAATGTGTATTGGAGATACGCACTGGTTTGAAGGGTGGGAGGTTTTGGGGAGGATTTTTGGGAGGGTTGGGATTGGGAGAGTTTTGGGGAGATTTTCAGGAATTTTTGTCTGGAGATGTGGGTTTTTGAATAATAATACAGCTAAAATTTTCTCACACAAACATTTGTATGTTGTATCACCCAATTTTGAAGTTTCTGGTGCAGTGGTCTAATAGTATTTATAGTCAGTGACACTACCACTAAATCTGTGATCACTAAGGAAGAAATCAAGATAAATCAGTTCATTGAGAACACTAAAATTCTCAAGACAAAATACTCGGGTGACGATGGGAAGAAAATTGAAATTTTAAACAGTGCGATCTCTGAGCTAAATTTCACCGAAGAGCCAATCTCCAAATACTATAAAATTGGAGGATTCCTAGGTATGACTAATGTTTCTCTCAGGTTATTAGCGAATCATGTTAAGTTATTATAAACACATATCTAAACTCCAAATTTTAACATATTTTCTAGGCAAGGGAAAATTCGGGGTTGTTCAAAGCGCAACTTCTGTGAAAAATCCAGACCTGAAAGTGGCTGTAAAGTCCATTAGATTAGAAAATATCAAGTCTCTGTAAGTCGTACCAAAAAGACTTTTCTTATTTCTCTAATTTAGGTTCCACTCTTTTGCTTCTGAAGTATACACACTTAAAAAGATTGATCATCCGAATGTGGTCAATATTATCGAAATCTTCAGAGAAGAATCTGAGATCCACATCGTAATGGAGTTCATTGAAGGAGTTGAGCTCTTCCGGTATCTCCTGATGTCTGAAAAATTTGAGGAATCAAAAGCTGCTATAGTTATTAGACAACTTGTTAAAGTTGTCAAATACATTAATTCTCTGGGTATATGACATCGGGATATCAAACCAGAGAACATTTTATTTAACCCCAAAACTCTCCAAATCAAGGTTCTTGACTTCGGAATGGCCACTTTCTTCCATAAGAAGACTCGACTTGAATGAAAGTGTGGAAGCCCTTACTACATTGCTCCAGAGGTTCTCGATGGTTCCTATAACAAGGAATGTGATATGTGGAGTGTTGGGATCTGAACTTATGTAATTCTAACCAATACTTTCCCGTTCGACCCAGAAAGACTTGAGGACTTATTCAGTGCTATCAGATATCGTAAAATTCCTTTCTTCAAAGAAGACTGGAAGAATCTCAGTAAAGAGAGCAAGAAATTTGTAGAGGCTCTCCTTCAGAAAGATCCAAAGAAGAGACTTACGCCTGATGAAGCATTAACTCACCCTTTCTTATCCGACAAAGATGGTTCTGAGTTTAAATTTAATCCAATTTTCTTGCAGAAATTGGTAACATCAGATTCTTGAACTCCATTCAAGAAGCAGATTTGTGCTTTGATTATCAGACATATTGACTCTAAAACAAGAGAGGAACTTGAAAAATGCTTCCAAGATCTTGACACAGAAGGAACTGGGTTTATCAAGCCAAGTCAGCTCCTTTTGTGTTTAGAGAAATCCAAAATTAGCGATTCAAAATTGGATGAAATCAAAAGGAGCATTGAATTCCAGAAAGACGTACCAATAGACTTCTCTAGTTTCATGACAAAGGTTCTATTTCTCAAGAAAAAGTTTACTGAAGAAAACATCAGGAAGGTTTTCCAGGAGCTTGATCAAGATAATCTTGGCTATGTGACAAAGGACAATATGACTGACTACTTTCATCGCAAGCATTCAGAAACAATTTTGGAAGAATCAGATGAATTCTTTCAATACTCAAGAATCGAAAAAGAAAGAGAATTAGAGCTTTATAAGAGCTTTTGTTCCAGAACAGAACAGGTTAACTTCGAAACTTTTAAGAGTTACATACTCGGTCCAAGAAAGGTACATTTACTAAATTATCAATTTGTGACATGCCTAACTTTTATCATAGGAGGAACATAATTCCATCCCCCCAGGGAACTCTTCAGGCTTTGTCTTCCCCAGGAGCTCTCTAAAAGAGTTCAAAGAGGCATGTTCCTCCCAGAAGTGAACAGAGGCCGACACCGAAAGGAGCTCTTAAAGACGATTTATAAATATATCCGACCATACCCTTATAAACTAACCAACTATTTTCAATGCGTTAGGCCCACAATGGGGTTTTGGGGTTTTGGGGTTTTGGGG